GTGTGCGTGTGTGTGTGTGTGTGTGTGCGTGTGTGTGTGTGTGTGTGTGTGTGTGTGTGTTATCAGGCGGTGTCAGGGCACCTTGGCTGGCAGCTGTCTGATTTGTGATGTCACATGGCATCCACTTTTTAGCACTAAAGCGAGCAGGCGAGCAAGCAAGCGGACAACGAGCAGGAAGCAGACGAGGACATTTCCTCGAGGCGGCCTGCCGACTTCTTTAATGCGTGATGAAATAACTTCAGCGTGCCAATGTAATGATTGACCTGTCGAGGGCGGGGCTTTACTGATTACCCCTTTTAGCATGTTAATGTATTAGCAGTATGTCTCGATAGCCCTTAGCAGCTCAACACACGCACACACGCAGTGGATGCATACACTTGCACAGACACACACAGACAATTGAACACAAATTTCACACACGCAGTGTGCATACAATGATACAATGAGCCACCCAAAGTCTGTGGTCACCTCCACACTTGTCGCATCTTTCATGACAGCATGTGACATCATCACCTCCACAACAAATTGTGTGTGTGTGTGTGTGCGCGTGTGTGTCTTTGTGTGTGTGTGTGTGCGCGCGCGTGCGCATGCACGCGCCGGTGTTTGTGTGCGCATGACTGCAGTAAGTGTACTTGCAGGATTCAGTTTACAAACTTTCACAGCAGCGTGTCATAAATCTGAGGCCCCGCCCCCGGTGACAGCCCTACCAGCTGTTGCCGGGGCAACAGGCCTTCCTGGTACAACATGTCTTGTTGTTGCCATCTCCTCGTGTGCTGGTAATCTGATTACTCATCAGGCTCCTCATCTATTATGACTGCGCGGCGTGCTCGCCCCGTCATCGGTCGCCCGGCTCCGCTCACGCGACCCGTGTTGACGTTGGTTGCCGCGATCAACATTTGGAGTGCGATTGGCAGCCATTTTGTCATGTCGAGGGCTAGTGTTTCGGCAGTGAGCTCGTCTTTCGCGAGTCAGGTTACCGTGGACGCGGGGGCTCTGTTGGCAAGTAGACCATGCAAGTGGACTATGCCGTGAGACGGATATTTCAGAGTGCTGTTGGAAAATGGAGTGAGTCGAGGTTTTCCCCTTTGAAGTGGACCAAGATAGTTTCGATAAAGTCCACTAAATATACCAAGCAAGTGTTTAGGGACTATTGAATTAATCGTCCCAGCTCTCGGGCAGTGGCGACCCCCAACCTTTTTTTTTCCCACTCGGGACCAGTTCATGGTCGTACAATTTTTTTGCAGACCTCCAACAACTCATCAAGGACAGGAGTTGGGGTGTGTGACATAAATTCCCCGTCAGGTCATTTATGCTGTTAGAAAAATAATTACAAAAATTCCACCCATTTGTGCATCCTGCTGACTTCTTTATCGTCAACTTTATCGTCGACGATATAAAAATTCCTATTTATCAATTATAAAGTTCTCATTGAATTGTTTCAGCCCTAAAGTCAACAACATATTTAGCTAAAATCCCAACATAGTGATTAAGAAGTGAAGGATGTGTGTTCGGAATCATTCTCTTATTCCCAATTCCCAAATCATAACGACAGGTCTAGGAACAATCTGCCCTTTGAAGTGGACCAAGATAGTTTCGATAAAGTCTACTAAATATACCAAACAAGTCAAGTTATAGTCAACTTTATCCTCGACGATATAAAAATTCCTATTTGTCAATTATAAAGTTCTCATTGAATTGTTTCAGCCCTACCCTTCAACAACATATTTTGCTAAAATCCCAACATAGTGATTAAGAAGTAGAGAAGGATGTGTGTTCGGAATCATTCTCTTATTCCCAATTCCCAAATCATGACGACAGGTCTCGTAACTATCTCTCCATTTTTGTCCCTATCTAAGTCAATGGTGTCCAGTGAAATCCCCATCTCATGATTAGGGAACAGGGAACGATGCCCAATGTGGCGTGTTGGGTGTCCGTCATGTGTCACATGACACTGCAACCTCAATGAGGGAGCACACAACCCGGCTGGGGGGGCGCGCCCCATCCGTGGGGTCTCAGCTGCTGATATATGGACGCTTGTAACACACAAAAGATATGCAAGACAAAGACCCCCCGTGGCCCACCATCAGCACCACAAGCACAACAAGCTGCAGTGCTTGTGTGCCAACGTGTACGCGTGTGTTAGTGTAATGTGAATGTCTCCATTTGTGTGCGTGTGTGTGGCCGAGGCAACAAACTGCAGTAAATGCCATTTTTATTGTTTGGAAAAAAATTGCATAAAAAAAGAGAAGAGCCAATGAATCTTGAGATGTGATGTCATCGTGATGTCACAGGAACGAACGTGAATATAAGTCATATGACTTCTGTCCTTTCTTTTCCTCATGCCGGTGTTCACAGGTCACGTGACAATCTTCTGACCACAGGTCATCACTTGGACTGATCTTGTCTTTCGAAGTTCACAAAGTTGACAGAGGCATTATTTGGCAAACGCTAACAAATGACAAAGGGATATTTGTCCATTGCGACTGGAAGTCGAGCCTGAGGAGGCGGAGCCAAAACAGGAAGTTCGATGCTATGATTTCAATGTGATTTTTGAAGTTGATCTCGGTCACACCCGTGAACAAATGTCGAGTGGGTTAAGGCGTCTGCCTCAAGAGTTTTGAGGTTCAGGGTTGGAATCTGAGCGCTGGAACTTCGGCTTTCTCCCGTTAGCATGTTAGCTTCATTGAAGATCAAGAACTTGTTTATCGGTGGGAACGTGCGTTTGTCCAGATGTACCCTGCGATTGCCTGGCAACCAGTTTGGGGTGTACTCTGCCTTTAGTCATCCTGAAATGGATGAACGGATGGATGGAGAGTTGGGTTGTTGGATGTTTAGTTGGAGGGATTGTTGTTTGAATAAATAGATTTTTGTATCTATTCATCTATGTATCCAACAACCCATCCATTGCTGGTTGGACATTTGATGGATGGGTGGATGATGGATGATGGAATGTTGGGTGGATGGATTTTTGGACGATAGCTCGTTTGGATGGTTGTTGAATGTATGCATGTATGTATGGATGGATGGATGCGTGGTTCCGTGGATTTGTGTTCCAGCTTATTTATCGAAGATCAGGGTGCAGAAAATGGATGTTGAAATGTCATCCCTCATACGTGATGTAAACAGGAAGTCCCATGAGTATCAAAAGTTCAGGGTGGAGGGTGACCTCAGAGCAAGGAGTCGGTAGGGGGTTCCCCAAGGTCAAACAGTTGCTCCAGGTTGACGCCGGAGCCGCACAGGAAGTCGCTGCGTTCGACCTCCGACCCCACGTCTTCCTCCGGCCAGGGGCTCTCCAGGAAACCCAGACCCAGGAAGGACTTTTGGGACTCGGCCAGTGTGTCCGCATCCCCCGTGGGGGCGCTGGCCTGCACGCTTAGCTCGTCCTCCTGAATGATGGGGCCCAGGGTGTCGCCGGCGTCCAGGCTGAGCTCGCCGCTGAGCGCCGAATCCAGCAGGGCGTCCCAGTCAAAGTCGCCCTTTAGGGGGCCGCTCTCTTTCTGCTCATCTGCGGCGAGGAGCGGGGAGCTGGGGCGGCGGATGGTCTTGCCTCCGCCGTTCCTGCGGCCCAACTTCCTCTTGGCACCACCTCGGGATGCCGGCCAAGATCCCAACATGGTTCCTTGGGCCAGGCAGGCGTCCCAAGTCTGCTCCGTGGCCTCCTCAAACTCCCGCAGGAGCCGCTGGGAACGGGCATCAGCGCGCAGGGTGCCAGCAGGACTCTTAGGCGGCTGCGTGACAAGCCCCAGCCGGCTCTGCAGCGCCGGGTTGATCCTGACGGGTGGCATGCGGCGCTTCTTGTAGGCGCCGCTCAGGAGGCGCTCGGCATACTGCGGGTCGATCTTCCAGAAGCCGCCCTTGCCCGGTTCGTCCTTCTGACGGGGAACTTTGATGAAGCACTTGTTGAGCGATAGATTGTGGCGGATCGAGTTCTGCAACGGCACGCGGATGACGCAGAGCTTAGTTTAGGTTCGCCGCTACAAACAAGGCGACAAATGGGACTCGGTGAAGCACTTCAACTCACTCCAATGTAGTTCTTTGGCACCGAGATGCCACAAGATGGCACAATAACAAGATGATGCTACATGTGGCTTTCGCTTGAGCACAAAAACATAGAAACCCTGATGAAGTAAAGTTGGAGTGATTTTCGGGACGGGAGTGAGTCAACACTGATTCGTAACTGCCAAATCACTATAAAGAGATTTCTAATGGACATTTTAGGAACTATCTTGGTACACTATGCAAAATCATAACATTTCTGGCACTAGCCAAACCGCGCTCGTGCAATAAAGGCGGAAGTATGAACGACGCCATCACTATTCATGGCGCTAACCTCCCCCCGTGACTCCCCCTCCTCCCTCCCGAGCCTAAATGGAGCTGCTGACCTTTGTTAAATATTATCTGCCCCTTGGGGGCGCTACAAAAACAAACTAACGGCTTCATCAATCATTTATGTGGCAAATTAAAATTTGGGTTGAAAAGAGACAAATCCCTCAAAATCACTCCTATATACTTGTACTCACTCTAGCTGGAGAATAAAGATGTGTGTGTGTGCGTGTGTGTTACCTACCTGCCATGTGGGCTCGGCGTGCTTGAAGTAGCAGAAGTTGTCGGTTATCCACTTGTAAATGCCGGCGAGCGTCATCTTGTTATGCTTGCTGTGCTTCATGGCCATGCAGATGAGGTGCGCGTATGAGTAAGGCGGCTTGACGCCCGCGTCCGTCTTGTAGTCCACCTCGTCCGGGCAGTGGCCACGCGCCACGATGGCGGGCAGCTGCAACAGCCGGCTGTAGGCGGCCGCTGTGGGTTTCCCCGGCGTGAGCGTTGGGACGCCGCCCCCGGTGATGGAGAAGTCCTGCAGCCACTGCAGGCTGGTCAGGCTATCGTCCAGAGAGGCTGCGCCGCCCCAGGACACGCCGGCCACGCCTTCCGCCGCCCCGCCCGCCTCCACCGCGCCCGCTGCCTCTGCTTGCGCCGCAGCTGCCACCAGAACCTCCTCCAGACCCTCGCACTCCTCGGGGCCCCCCTGGTAGCAGGACTCCATGCTCATCAACGCTGTGATGATTGCCTCCTCGCCTTTGCCTTCCTCAACACGACTGCAAACGTATGATGCACTCAAGTGAATGAGTGAATGAATGACGAAATGCAGTGAGTGAGTGAGTGAGCTAAAATGAATGCGTGAATGAACTGATGTGTTAATGAATGAGTCAACACAATGAAGTGAGTGGCTGAGGGAGCGCGCGAGCGAGTGAACACAGAAATAAGTGTGTGAATGAGCGAGTGAGTAAATTAATGAGTGAGTTGATAAATGAGTCAACACAGTGGAGTGATTCAGTGAGTGAGTGAATAGTCATTTAAACTGACGGAATCAGGACGGTGAGCGAATGAGTTAAGTCGCCCCAGCACATTTAAGTGAGAAAATGAGAACGGGACCGCAAGAGGTCACGTGTCAGTTGAGGACAACGCAGAGAGTGGTGAAGTGAGAACATGAGAATGGACGCACTGAAGTAAGAGACGGAGGAAGTGTGAGAGCGTGTGAATGAGAGCGTGAGGACTCATTTGAAAACAGTCAGTTTCTCTTCACACCTGCGCGCAAAGTGTCACGCGCAATTTTTTTTCAAGACATTTTCAAATTATGTTCACATGTTTCAATGATGAAATCCCCTAACGTGACAAACATTTGCGCTTTTTGACGTCGAGTCGCCGCAACCGTGAAACAGCATCGAATATTGAAACGAAATCAAAAGAGCAAAGATGTGAGCATACCTGCAGTCAAGCGTCTCTCCTCGGTGTGAATTGCGCGCGCGCCTCCCTCCTGCGTGTGACTGCGTGTACGTGCGTGTACGTGCGTGAGCGCGCGAGGGCCACCAAAGAGCCACGCAAGGAAACGAAGACGACGTGCAGCCCGCGGCGCCTCTTTAATACCTGAACACGTAACCCGAGCAACGGCGGCCGCGCCCCCTTGTAAACAATCTCCCGCGCGCCCATTGGCCCGCCCGTTGCCATGGAGATGCACCAACGCTTCCAACTAACGGCACGCTTCCACACTACAAGACTGGAGAATTCTCTATCCCTCCGTCCATCACTCTTTTACGACTTTCGCTTTCTTTGTGTGTGTGTGTGTGGGGGGGGGGGCAGGTCAGTTTGTTCCAAGTTGAAGGTTTTTGATTGTCTCTCCATCGTACATTCCCTCATACGTCGTAACCTTCAACCCCCACCCGATGAATTCCACTTGATAGTTGTATTGGACGAACAAAATTCCTAAAAGTAGATGAAAGTCTTGTTTGGAAAAGCGCATTCTGTATTTTGGCAGCCAAATAAAATCGTCTGATGACTTCAATGATAGTTTAAAATGACGTATTTGACGTCACTTTATAGCTTGTGCTATGTTGTCATGAACTCAAAAAAAGCAAATGTTACTTTTTTTTATATTGTACACTAATTTGTAGCGGGCGGCACGGTGGGTGACTGGTTAGCATGTCCGCCTCACAGTACAGAGGTGCAGCAAGGTTTGATTCCGGCACCTACTGCCCCCCCCCACGTGACCCTGGTGAGGATAAGCGAATTACTGTAGAAATGGATGGACGAAATGATGGACCAATTTGCAGCGATAATGATCTATACTGAACAGTAGAGGGCGCTACCGCACAATTTTTGAAAGATTTTTCGTTGGAGAATTAATTTTAAAACACACTAATTTGTCTTTCGTATGGACGCCTGGTACTGTCAATGTGGAGGAATCATTTTTGACGCAAGACAAAATATTAAAAACGTAACATTTTTTTCCCATAAGACCACAAAGTATTGAATTGTGCATGCACCATAATTCTTATTTTAGCATTTGGCCTCAATTAAAATATTTTTTTTGAATTACTACGTCTGCGGTGCGGTGTAAGCACATTGCGCAAGTAAGTACCTGGCAAAATGAGGGGAGGGGGAGGGAGGGGCTACGGAAGTTCAACTTGAATGATGGATGCAAAGCACAGCAGATTCCGCAGGAAATCTCTTCCAAATGCCTTGACCTTTTTATACCTCACACCAGCTGTTTGATTCTGACAATACTGCTTTCACACAAGTAAGCGTGTGTGTGTGTGTGTGTGTGTGTGTGCGCCACGCTCTGAAATGATTCCCGACACTCAGCTCATCTGTCCTGAGTGAGTCACAGCAACAGAAAGTTGACCACTTCAAAGAATCAGAGCCAGCCAAATGAAAACTAGTTCAGGTGTTTTCTTCTTTTTAAAAGTTTATTTCAGCCATGTCTTTTCTCAACAAGTTTATTTCGGCCAAGTAGTAACTTCTGGAAGCAAGTATGATTTTCAAACAAAAAGCAAATCTGTTGCATTCATAGAATTGCTTCATTAATATGGATGGATTAGACACACATACAGCTTTAAATTTTGCGTTGAGTTTTTCTTGTTTTGTTTTCGTGTACGTGTGTCAGGTGTGCGGCGGCGGTTGCACCGGTCCGGCGGGAGGAGTCTGGCCGCGGGGTCCTGCCCCGTTGAGGCGCCGCTGGGGGGTGTAGGTCACCGTGCGTATGCCGCCGCAGCTGCGGGACACCCGAGGGTACCTGCGCGCGACAGCCCACGTTTGGAACTTGTTGCAGAAAAGAATGACAAACGACACGGTGGCCGTGCAAGTGGGAGGGGCAGTGCGAGTGGGAGGGGCAGTGCGAGGTGAGTCCATTCGCTTCCCGAAATCTCTCTTCCCATCTGACACCATTGGGGTCGTGTGTCATGCACGAGGGGAACATTTCACCTGGTCAAGCATGACTTCCTTCTCCAACTTTTCCACAAGGAGGCGCTCACCTGAAGTGAGTCAAGTCCGTCAAAGGCCTGCCACCTCCCCTGCCGCTAGGCCACGCCCCCAACAAACTTTTACTGTGCACACACAAAAGATGATTGACAGCAGGTGTGTTCGTATACTTTACATATATATTAGGCCTGTCCCTCCATTCAAATTTGCGTGTGTGTGTGTGTGTGTGTGTGTGTGTGTGTGTGTGTGTGTGTGTGTGTGTGTGTGTGTGTGTGTGTGTGCGCGTGTGTGTGCGTGTGTGTGTTTTCAGAAAGACTCACGCTGCGTTAAGATGTCGAATGACATGACGGTCACATGACAGACAATGATGTGTTTCAAGCAGTTGTCTGCGCGCACGCACACACACAGACACACACAGACACACACACCAACAGGAAATGATGTTATAATGTTATAAACACAGAATCACTCACTCATCCCCAACTGCTCCCTGAACACTCAGTGTTTATTCATTCATAATTTAGGGAATTCCTAATCAACCAAAATGACTCATGACTAACTACTTCACATGGTGGAGCTCGGTAGTTCCCCAAAAATCCTATTGCGGTAGTCAGGAATGACTCGGTTCGTCGATAGTGGACAAGGTGTTAACTTACTTCCTGATCCCAGCGGCAGTGGCGTCTTCGCCATCATGCTCGAAATCTTCAGGACTGCGCAGCCTTTCACGGCTTCTATGGAAGTTTTTCAACTGAGCTTCGTCGAGCTGCTTCTTCTGTGACACACGTACACACACACACACACACACAAACACAAACACACACCATGTATCATTATCATATGGGATGTTTTGATGTGTTCCAACACAAAACACAAAAATCTTACAACTTCGACGTGAAGCAAGCGTTTGTCTACTTTGTTCTCTTGCAGATCCTCAGAGGTCCTCACCAGTTGCTATGGAAACCACACATTTTGTCTCGTTTATAATGTTATGTTCTACACTTTTTGTAGTTTGACAGCTGCTACAACAGCATCATCACCCCTTCTAGTGGCTTTGCATGTTAATACAGCGTTTTCAACATGTTCACATACTTTCGTGTTTGTTTACCTGGATGTGGACCTGTTTGTGTTTGCTGTCGTCATGGAGACGCCTGATGGCCTCTTGAAGTTTGTCACACTCACTTTGAAGTTTCAAGATGGACACCGGCCCGCCAGTCAGCTGCAAGCGCACACATGCACACATTCACTTATTTACACGCACACGCACACGCACACACACGAGATGCCAAAGCCTAAATGCACACTCACATGACACACACACAATGGCTGTGTCCAAATTCACACATTGACTTCCTCCGAGGCCTCATTTTTCGGACCCCATATCCTGTAAAGCTGTGCTGGAAGTGACGTCATACGGACGTAAGACCAGCCTGTGAATTTGGACACAACCATACAGACACGCGAACAATCGTCGCAAGTTTGCGCTGCGTCATCGGGTGCGTTTGGTTCGTTGACCTGGGCGTCTTCATGCCGTTGCCATCGCACGGTTTCTGCCATCTTGCGCTCCAGAAGCAGACTCAACTTGCCGTTGAGGTCGTCCGTGGAGCGACATCTCAGGTCGGAGGGTTCAGATGTCAGAGACGACATCATGCGGTCCAAGGCCCCACGAAGGTCGTCCAGCTGCAGGTCAGAGGTTGCGAGAGACCTGGCTTACTTGGCGAACATCATAATGCGATAAATGAGTGTAGCCTTCTACTTTAGCCATAAGACGAAGGAGCGCCGGCTGCTGACCTGCCGACATTGTTGGGTGAGCCGCTCGATGGCGTCCTCATGGAGTTTGACGCGCTCGTCTAGAAGTCTGCACGCCTCGCGCCGATCTGGAAGCGAAAACACCAAGAGACGTGAGGGAAGGTCCGCGCGAGCTCGTGAGGAAAGCCCGGCGAACGGGGGGACCCACCCGTGTCCCCGATGAGTCGCCGCAGGACGTCCATCTGCTCCTTGTCAGCCTTCGCCGTCTCGAGCGCATCCACGCGAGCTCGCAGGAGCGCGCCCTCGTCCTTCAGCTCGTCCAGCGAGGCGGACGCGAGACCCTGGGGACGTACAGACGAACTCGTCACCTTTCACGGCTCGCTAGTTGGCCGCATAAGACACGGTAACGCCGACTGTGATGTGGGGAGTTTGGGAAAACGGACTTGCTGGCGGACGTGAAGCTCCTCTGCGCGCTGCTTCATAACCGACATCTGCTCCTGGACGTCCCGCGCCAGCCCCAGGGCCTGACACGCACGCAATTAGAAAGTTGGGCTTTTTAGTTTGGCTCATTCCTGCCAGCTTGTAACATTCCTGCGTACAGTGCACACGAGCACGCGCGCACAGAGACGACAAGCAGACGCGCCTTCTCCCTTGACAACAGAAGACGTTCGGACGCAATGCGACCAAGACCAAAAACCTTGAGCCGAAGCGGGCGTCCAACCTGTTCCAGTGCGTCCTCACAGGCCCCGACGCGTTCCAGGAGTCCCGTTTGTCGAGCCCGCTCGGCGGCGCTGACGTCCCGGATGCCCAAGCGGCTCAGTAGCGCCAGCAACAGCCGTCGCAGGTAAACCAAATCAAGCGCGCCCGCTCGGGGGCCCCCGAAGCTCAAGTCCAGCAGGTCCGAGAAGGTCGCGTCGTCGTCCCGCCGCATCGTTCGTTCAATACCGTCAACGCCGCCGCTTCTGTGTGTGCGCGCGTTGCCCCGGAGGTAGCGTTCGCGTCCGACGTCGCTTAGGCAACGACAGGGAGAACTTCGAAACGGCTGCTTTATCGTAAGCGCTTCGACTTCCGCATATTTTCTTTTTCATTTGTAATTATTGTTTCAGGTGTGATGGTGGGAAGGGATGACTTCATTTCAGTGGCTTGGTGATGAAATGCTGTGATGATGCAATTGGATCTCTATGGGCATTTATTGTAACGTACACCAAAGTATTGCTCTTCGAAACTTTATTTCGGCTTTTGAATTAATCACCTTTACGGTAAACATTTAGTCTCTGTTTTCCCTTCTTATTTCAGGTAAAAAAATAAAATCAACTCGAGCCAGCCACCACCGGCATTTCCCATCATGCTTCCGTGCGTCTTTAAAGTGAATGTGCGGATTTGGTGGTGATCGTAATGTGTGAAGCGGATCGTCGTCCTCATCAGATGCCATCTGCCGCGGCTGCCTGCGCCCGCCACTCAGCGGCAAAGAAGGAGAGCGAGCCGGCGAATCCCAGCACGACCATGATGAGGAGCTGCCAGTGCAGCAGCAGGAAGTTGCTGTAGAAGAAGGCCAACGCCGCCAAGATGGACTGAGGAGCAAACACAACAGCCAGGTAAAACCGCCACCGTGATGTCACTTCCTGTCGGGTGTTTCAAGCCTCTCAGATTTTGGGGAGGCAAAGGTCCGCAAGGGTTTAATCAAGGCAACTGGACTGCTCTTGTTTTTTTGAACACCTTCAATCCAAAAGGCTTCCTTTGATTCAATGACTCTTTTCTTGCGTGACCTTGAAGGACTGTCCCTTGTCCAGTCACCTGCATGACTGACAACACACACACACACACACACACACACACACACACACACACATTCTTCCAAGCAGCACTCCTAACCCAAACATAAATTCTGACAATTCACAAACCGTCTCACAACAAACACACTTTCATCCTCCCTGACGACAGAAACTCACTTACTGACGAACAAAATTTATTCGCACATGCAAAATATACTCACTCATTCTCTACTGACAACACACACACACACACACACACACACACACACACACACACACACACACACACACACACACACACACACATTCTTCCAAGCAGCACTCCTAACCCAAACATAAATTCTGACAATTATATTTGGAACACTTCAGTCAAAATGATCAATTGTTGCATGACTATGTCTGAGGATTCAAGCTTGAGAAGCAAGGTTCCAAAAACCAAAACCCAAAACAAAAAGCCATTCCCACCTGTATGAACTTGAAGATGGCGAAGGCGGGGGCGCTGTTGTTGCGGAAGGTGAAGCCGATGATGCTGAGCAGCTGCGTGTTGAAGCAGCTGTCGCCCAAGCCCAACAGGAAGCTGCACAGCAACGCCACGCCCACACTGACACACACACATGCACCACTTCATTAGGGAAAAAGCGTACAATGATGTCCAGTTGAGGAATTGAATAAAGAAGATGCTGAATTCAAACAAAAGGCAAAACCCTCGTTCAAATTCAGGAGACGAGCTATTGGTCGAGCTGCACTTGCGATAGCGTGACATCTTTGCTCCTGAAGCTCTTAACGTGCCATTTGTATGTGGTGTTGCGTTTCGAGTCGGGGGCAACCTGGGCCGAATGAAGGCGGTGAGCTCGGTTCCCTCTTCAGGCGCCAGGGGGGCGTCATCGGCGATGTTGATGAAGATGAGGTAGAACGCCACGTAGTGCGACAGCAAGCCGAGCAGCACCACGGGATTGCGGCCCACGCGGCCGCGGCCGCCCTTGTTGAGCACGCCGAAGACGCCCCCGCCCAGGATCTCGCCCAGGCCCACGCAGATGCCCGACAGCCCCATCAAGCTCTTGGCGTCCGCTCCCAAGCCCGTCATGGCGCCGATGCATGTGCCGTACACGCCGCTGTAAAACGTCAGCTCCACGCCTGTCGGCACACGCACGCCATCATGTCATCCATCGCACGGCGTGCGCATCACGTGACGGGAAGTCGCGAGTCACCTGTGTACGCGATGGACAGGCTGAGCAGCAACATCTCCTTGGTCACCAACATCTTGCATGCCCGCACTGGGGAGCAGAGTGTAACGTTGTCTCACACACACACACACACACACACACACACACACACACACACACACACACACACACACCCGTATGCAGTTTGGTTGGAAAAAAGTGAACGACAATCGAGCAAGGGGCGGCCACTCTCAATGTGTGTGTGTGTGTGTGTGTGTGTTGGCTTGGAGGTGGGCGCACATACCAAAAGCGTCCAGGGCTTGCGAGCAGACATGCGAGAGAGGCGAGCTGCCAACACAAATAGTTGGGGGGGGGGGGATAAATAAAAAGTTGAGAAAAAGTCATGCAGACTAAACACACATTTCTCCAATTTGCACATTTTTTTACGTTGAAAGAAGAGGAAACTCTTTGCATCTCACCGTCCATCTTGAAAATCAAATCTGAAAACCATTCTGAAGGCGAATAGCGTCAGATGGGTTTGAAATGAAATGAAACAGTTTTGGGGGTCAAAGGTTGTGGCATATTTAAGATTTAAACTAGTAAGATCAGCAAAAGCAACCAAAGTGTTACTTTTGGCGTCGGGGTTTGCTCCCGATAGCGAAGCAGAATGGAAGCGCGTTCCCCGTACACTCAGGACCCCGCGTTGCCATGGTGACGCGTCACACCGCACAACATGGGATGTCGTTCGAGGGTCAATGAGCAGTGCCTCGTCACCATGGCAACCGCAAAGATAATACAAGCGCTTTGTCAACCTCCTCCTCCCCCTCCTGATGCTTATGTTGACGGGTACCCGAGTGCACTCTCGCCCGAGTCGGAGGGCAGCAGCGGGGCCTCCGATTCGTCGCCAGGCGCTATTTCCGCTTCCGCGTCGGGCTTCCGGATGAGGAAGAAGAGGAAGCAGCCCACCAGGCTGATGACCGTCAGGGAGATGAATACCGTCTGCCGGTCCTTGTCTGCCGACGCACGCACACAGAGGGGGTCAACACTTGAACCTCGGCCCGTGCAGGCGCACGTGCGCGACCAGCCACTTCCTACCTGAGATGTGCTCGTGTCCACGCCAGGCGAAGAAGATGAACAGGTTTCCAAACAGTAAGCTAAAAAAACCCACACACACGCGCAATCATTAGAAGCAAACACACACGCCAGAAGTGCAACAATTGATCGACAACTTATCAATGATCCAATCAGGCAACAACAATTGATCATTTAGAAACCTTGTTTGACTTCAAATTCTTCGCAGGAAATGAATCCGAAACATTTTATTTGTGAAAATAACAATGTGAATTTGACGGATGGAAATCAAAAATATTTTACAATCAGAATCATCGATTAAATTCATCATGAAATAATTGAAACTCCTTCACAAAATAGAGCGTCACCTGCACTGCAGCAGGGCCCAGAAGACGCCACTGTTCCTGCCGATGGTGTGCTGGTCCGAGTTGAGCGCCAGCACGTTCCCCTGCGCCGTCCACAGCACGGCGGCGCCGGCGCCCACCAGCACGGACGCGGTGTAGAAGCTCCACGTGTACGGGTAGACAAAGACGGCGATGTAGGCGCTGTACAGCAGCCCGCTGAAGAACATGGACAGCTGGGCGCCCGCCACTGCCACCACCGACGGCGCCAGCAGATTGGATGCCGAGAACACGCCGTAGATCACAGCCATGCTGCACCATACATTTTACAGGTTATAGTTCACATTCATGGGGGAATATGTTTTTTTCATTTTTGTGGGGTGCGTGGGCGCTCTTACCTGGTGTAGCCGCTGGCGTGGAAGGTGGTGCTGTTCAAGCTTTTGATCACCGTTTGCTGCAAGAAGCAAGACAGGTCGGGCGGCGTTGACAAGTGCCTGGAGTGACTCGTGCAGTGATGGAGTGACGTGGCATGACGACCGGCCGGCACACATACCTCGATGTTGCCGCATGTTTGGAAGGCTGTGAAGATGAACATGAAGGCCACGCCCAGGACAATGACGTTGACCAACTTCTTGCCGTCAGGACCCATTTGGAAGCGTGTGGGATTATGTCACAACATCTGACGAAGACAGTGACAACAAGATAGTCTGGGGGGAAGGAGACATACTCAGCCCCCTCCCGTGTCTGTCAAATTTTTCCGTCACATCTCAATATCCATTCCAAATATTTTTATACCGATACACTAAGTATATTGCAAATGGATCAGTGAAAAGTAAGTCCATAAAAGCCAGGGATGATCTTCTGTGGATGCAGCCAGTAATTTATGTACGGCTGATGGTTCTGTAACGTTTTGAAGTACTCAATAATAACCCCCGATTTTTTTTTTTTTTGCATCATACTTCGTTATGTCGCCTTCCACGGAAGTTGAAAAGGTAACAACGCTATTTTGCCAAAGTACGGAATAGATAGTAGAGGAATGTTTCGTAAGGGAGGAACTAAACAAGGTAAAAAGTACAAAATAATATAGAAAATAGGCAGTTGGCTGAAAGCAATCCACTAAATTGCACTTTCTACTACTGCAAACTACTTTGTAAAAATAGGTGTTAAAAAAAATAATAAAATGAATGTTTATTGTCCACTTACAAAGCAGACGGCAGTTCTTGTCGCTTCTTGCTCGCCTCTGGAAGAGGCTAAAACCAGGCTAAACAAAGCTGAGCTGACCAGCTAGCTTTTAGCACTTGCCATCGATCTTTCCCATATGGACCCGAAATCCACCATGACGGAACCAGCCGGCTTTTCCAAAATTGTGCTCTGACAATGCCAAGCAAGCAGAAGACGAATCCGACAATACGCTATCATGTGAGTTTGAGAGGACGTCAGCTGACCCACAACGTCACAAGTTTAGCGGCGCCAGCATCAAATTATATAATCAGATATTTTGTTAAATTTGTTTATTAACATGTTATATTGTTTGTTGTTTTGAGTCAATAGAACCCTTAAAAAATACTAGATGTAAATGTGCAATACACAAGCTCATCCATTTGGCATGTTGATTTTTTTTTAACTACCGTGAAGACATGCCTTATGTTTCCGCTTCCGGGTGAATTATTATTTTTTTTTTTGGTCATGGTCACACGATGAGACATATTCCGTTAAAAGTCGAGTAGTTTCGATGTTAACTTTTTTAAAACACATTAAAAATCATCACGTTTTCATTTCGTCCGTGCTCGGCTATATGTAGGGCTATGTTTGATTGTTTGGCGAAGCTGTGGCAAGGTGGGTGGTGCCAGCAATGGTTGCGCTGTTTACAGCCAATGGAGCAAATTATTGTCTTTAATTGAGCCAAGGCACAGACTTAACTTTTAAAAATATATCACAGAACACCACTAAACCTAATGCCACAAAAGTATACACGCGCACGCACACGCGCACACACACACAGACGATATTACTACATATTTTGTTTGGACATTCTGCCATCTAGTGGAAGAGCATTGAAATGTTCGTCACTGGCATAGATAGATCAACGTTTTAAATCGGATGGTTTTGGGTGACACACTCAGGCAGAAGGCCGTTATAATAAGAATTTATTTTTCGAGCCATCAGACCATCCAAAATACAACGCTGAGCCAGATAGATAGATAGATAGCAAAGCTATTCATCTGTTTGTTTATTTATTTATTCTGCGTGCTTGTCCGCTCATCTATCGTTAATTGTGTGACGTTGATTATCGCTGAATCTCGCGAGATTTTGTCGAGGCTGGCTTCAGCAGACTAGCAACTAGCAAGTATCTCGTCTGTCGCGAGTTGCTGCTGCTGCTTGCAATCTTGTTCTTGAGCAAAAACAAGGAGAGCAAGAAGCAGACGCTTCCCCGTGGGACGCCATCGCGTCGCTGTGCGTCCTGCACCTCCGCGCTCGTCTCGTTCGAGCTCGGCCCCGCTGACGGACGCCTGAGCGCGGCTGTGATTTGCAGGTAGTTAAGGTTGATGCTGTTCCTCGCAGGTTTATTAATAGCCGCCAGATAGCTGCTGGCTGCTAGCAGCTAGCTGTCCAGCCAACGGCTAGCCTAGCTCTACAATGCATTTTGAAAGGCGAGGTGCTTAAAGCGCTGGCTTCAAATGTGACACCTGGACAAACGTCTCACGCGACGTCGCTCGTTTGTTGTCACAAATAGCACGTTTGATGGAGGTTTTGTTTTATGGATTTTGTTGAGCTGAATGAGCGGCACTCGCTTTGCTAGCGAGTTGGACATCGTTATTTATCTCATCGTTACACGTAGCTGCATGGTTAAAACTATCATTCAAAACTTACTGTTTACATGTAAGGTATGTGTACAAAGTGCCATTCAGAGCTTACTTACGACCTGTGTTTAAAGTATGCTTGTGTAATTCCATTGACATGGGAACAACATGATCAGACAGATGTTTTAAAGTCATGAGGGTGTCATTTGTGACATTGTAAGAAAGTGACTCTTTAAGAGCGTCGAAAATGCACCAACTTCTGCCCCACTTGTGAATGCAGTCTTGAGTCAGTTGGGGTCGAGAATTAGGCAGCGCCTTTTTGTTGTTGTTGAATCCGAGGTTCAACACCATCAGAACTTTGTTCGTCGTTATCATACTTTCAAAAGGCTCCTGTCACTGGAAAGCTTATAGAACACAGAAACAGACAAGAATATGATTTCTAATTAATTCATTGCAGCCATTGCATGAAACAATAGGTAAATTTCGGGATAACCAAAATCCTAATTTGAAAACTACAATCAATATGAACTTTAAGTGCTCAACAGAAAATAATCTGAAGGCCATCTTTTAGTAAAGTTATTCAATGTACAATATGAATGCATCAAATAAGGCCCTATGATGATTATTGCTGTACATAATTTTTATAATTGATGCCGAAATAAAACTTTGCAAAAATACATAGGACGGAAAGAAAAATATCATAGGAAGCATTTGTAGTTGATAAAATTCATGAAATTGGTGTTGGAAGTGACACAATATAAAATGATATGATGGTAATATAAATTTTGATGAAAAGTTGCTCATAGTTGTTCATGTGTGTGATAGTGTTTCTGTATTTGTGCGTCAGGATGCGGCCTCCCACATGTGGCCACGCCATTGCCGCCTGACCGCTGCCAGGAATCATGGATGTCGTCGGGATCATGTAGCCACACACCATAGGCTCCCATGATGCATCGCGGCCCGTGAGCGGTGGACTTGGCACTTCACTGTAAACGATCGGACGCCCATGCAGCCTTTCCTGCATCTGTGCGGTCTCACAAGTCAGGACTGATCTGATTGGACGTTGTCGGCAGGAGAATGAATGGCTCGCTTTTAACTCCTCCCAGCCCGCGGGCCACAAACTCCTCCCCCTTGCCCCCATCACCCTCCCCTTCGCCGTCCCCGCCATCGCCCTCTCTGCTGCCCCTGTCGCCCCGGCCACCCCCCCTCCCTCCTCTGATGAGCCCGCCGCCCCCGACCCACCCGTCCTCACTGTCGGACACGCCCACGCCTTCACCCTCTCCCTGCCTCAGCTGGACTGAATTCTGTGAGCTTCATGCCCGCGTGGCGGCCGGCGACTTTGCGCGCCACTTCCGGGCGTTTCTCTTGGAGAACCCGCACTATTCGTCTGACTCAGCCGCCGCCTTCTGCCGCCGCTTCATGGATCGCTTCGTCCGCCACTTCCAGAGCGAACTGGAGGGGGCACCGCCACTCAGTGGCACCTCTGGCAGAGAGGAACTGGTGAGCTGGGCTCCCCAGTCGGACGCCACCTCTCTGGAAGAAGAGGCCGCGTCCCCCTTGTCGGTGTCCGGAGGAGCCGTCCCGCCCTGCTCCACTGCTAACGTGGCTCTGCAGGCCTCCAAAGAGGCACCCACGTGCCTCCTGCTGGACGGCCGCAGCGGCGACAGATTTCAAGACTCCTACGCCCGCGGCCAGGTCCTGCCTCCGTCTTCGTCGTCATCGTGCTGCTCCTCTGTGGGAGGCAACAATGGCAGGCGGGACGACAGGGGCACTGCAGCAATGGGCGGGAACGGGGACGCATCTGCCGTGGAAGAGGAGGACAGCTGGCCTGGTCCAGTGTCAATGGGGGAGGAGGTGGAGGGGCGGGAAGCGGACGGCGGCGAGGTGGACTTCTCCGATGCCTCACGCATGCCTAATACGCCCCCGCCCGGCTCCAAAGGGACCGCCCCTGGCTCCGTCTCTAAAAACAAAGTGAAAAAGCGTTTCTCGCTGCGCAGTGTGGGGCGCAGTGTGCGTGGGAGCGTGCGAGGTATCCTGCAGTGGCGGAGCTCTTCCAGTGACTCGGGGCCAAGCCCGCTGCCTGCCAGCTACAGCTACAACATGGGCGTGCACGATGCCGCCCCGACCCGAAATGCTACCACCCAGCCTCCAACGCCCACCTCCTCCATGCCCGTCTCTCTTTCTATGCCCCTGTCCCTGCCCCACTCGTCTTCGTCGTCCCTGCCCCCATCATCGTCCAGCAGTGCCACCTCTCTGTTGCTTTCCGACGCCGCCCGGGACCGCCGGCGGAGCAACGGCGAAGGCGGCGAGAAGGACAAGTGGAGCCACCGTTTGGAAAAACTGCGACTGACTCGATCTCCGCCCCCTGTCCTCACACCGAGCACCGCGTCTTCTGTGCTGCCACCTAGCGGCGGCACCACTGCCAACGCGCCGCCCAGGAAGGTCGGTCGGCTGGTTCGAGAAGGCGGAGTGAGCGTCAGTTCATCCAACGATGAGCTGAGCGGAGGTCACAGCTTCCCGGGCTTTTCCTTTGTTCTCCCTCTTCACGGCCTCGACAACAACAACACGGCGGCCGCGGCTCCCCGGGCGGCGGGGGGGGGGGGCGGGGAGAA